GGTTTCTCTTCTTTAATGGGCTTCCTATAGTAAAAAAATCAAAAACAACCTTTTCAGAATCATAGATTATATCCTGAAGCCTTATTAAATAGTTTTAAAACACAGGCTTTAAGCCATAAAGAAGTCTTAGAGAGAAAGAAGGATTGTATTAGGTGGCTAACGTTTGCCACCAGTTTTGAAATCACCAGACTTGGGAAATCCCGGCCATGGTCTCCAAAGTGTTGACTGATCGGGCCCCCACCAGTCTCCCCTTCACGCTACTCCTTCCCTTACACTCCAGATCCACCAAATGTCTTTCATTTCTTTCAATTTGCTGTGTTTTTTCCTTCCTGAGGCTTTTGCACATTCCTTTCCCTCTACCTGGAACATTTCCCCTTCTGCCGCCTCTCTGCCCCGAGTTGCCCAACTGACTTTTACTTACCCTTCTTATTTCAGTTTAAACAGCACTTCCTCTGAAAGGCTTTCTCAAATCCCACATCTAGAGTGAGCCCCACTGCCCTGTTAGTTTACCCCCCATTACAACTCTAGGGTTCTCCACTCCGATTCCAGTGTCCAACACAGAGCTGGTTCATGGTCAGCGCTCAGTAAGAAATAATCGAATGCTTGCAGTTCTTGGAAAGAAAGAGGGGTGTGTGGGTTAGATTGAAAGTAAGAAAAGACCCCAAAAAGGCAGCTTAGATGATACAGACACGTATTATCTCACATTACAGGAAGCCCAGAGGCAGGGATGGGTGTTGAAGTTCAGTAATTTCATCAGAGAACCAGGTGCCTTCCATCCCTTGCTTCTGTCTTTCCCAGCACAACAGCGACGCTTCCTCCTCATGGTTACAGGATGACTGCAGCAGCCCCAAGCATCACAGACAGCTACGACCAAGTCAGTAAAGAAGAGGAGTTTATCAGAGAGGATAATCTCTCTCTGTAGCCCCCGGTAGATACGCCGTATATCTGACTAGTCAGGGTGACCTCACACACTCATGTGTAGCTGCAAGGGAGACGGGAAAAGCAGTCTTGTAACAGGAGAGGTGCTCAACCCACAGGATGGGTGGCAGGTGACTGCTGGATTGCCAGCCGAGAGAATCTGTCTCAAGGGATATCTTACAGAACCAGGGGCTGGATGAACAGGCCCGTCTCCCAAAGGACTTGAAGTCAGCCCATGGAAAGCTTGGTGGTACACCCATGTTGAATGCCTGAAGTAGTGTTTTTTTGTATCTCTGCTTTATTCTCCATTTCTACAGATTCATGTTTTTTTTCCCCCTAACTTGGCATGTACAGGGACAATTTTCACCTCTTACCTCCAGCACCAGAGAGTTTCTGGAACTATCGGTCCAGTGTAGCTTTTCACGTGGATCCTTTGGGTCAGATGCTTGATTGTGGCAGTGGGGTTAAGAACTGGGATCCTTTGTCTTTTGAGGGGGGCGGTAATTGTTTTTTTTTTTTTTAAATTTGTTACTGGAGGCACTGGGACTGAACCCAGGAACTTGTGCATGCTAAGCAAGCCCTCTACTACTGAGCTAGGCCCCCCTCCCCTATTTTTATTTTATTTTATTTTAACATTTTTTTATTGATTTATAACCCCTTCCCTAGTTTTAATAGGGGACAACACCTGTGCTTGCTTAACCTTCTTGACTTAAAATTAGAAGTAAGTTTTAAAACAGAGGGCGTTGGGTATAGCTCAGTATAGAGCACAGGCTTAGCATGCACGAGGTCCTGGGTTCAATCCCCAGCACCTCCATTAAAAAAAAAGTGAGTTAATACCTAAGAGTTTGGACAATCTTTCTCATTGGTGTTAACTAAGTTTCAGGTGCCAGGGCTCTTTTTTTTTCCTATGATATTTTTATAATATTTTGCATCCCCACCACACACACACCTGGAAATGTTTATAGAGTTTAGAAATAAGTCAGGCCTATAAAGATGTCTTAGAAATAAGTCAGACTTAGCTTTTTCTTCTCATTAAAAATTTAGCTTATATACTTTGTTCTTCTTTTGTCTTTGGACTGCCTTCAAAGTTCTTCCTGGTATTTAGAATGTGGTTTCTTTCTCTCTCCCTCCCCCTCTTTTCTTCTGCCCTTGGGTTGGTCTTGAATGTGTTTCCTGGAGGAGAGACTCACCTGTGGAGAATAGAGTGGGATGTCTGAGAGGTACAGGGAGTTCTTCAGGGCTTAGAGGAGTGCTGGACAGCTGGAGGAGGGACAAGAGACTGAACTCTGGCATCTGCCAATTGAGCGGGCTCAGGAAAGAAACGTGTGTATCTGTGTAGGCAACATCTATGTAGACAACCTTCGCTGTCCAAGCCAACGCACAGAAACCAGGAAATGAACAAAGAGATCCATTCCAGGTCGAAGTCAGACGGTAATGATCCTGAGTGTTTGTGTTAAAGTTATTCATCTTACAGTCATGGCTTGACTAAGCCCCTCTTGTGTTCTGTCACAATGAAACAGGGCGTTTTCCCTTATAAGGAGCAAGATTTTGTTCTCTGTGATTAGTTTCTGTCTTCTACCATTGAATCAACCCACCACATTTACAAGCTAGACCCAGCTTTCTGAACCTAGGTTTTATAGCTTCGGCATCCTTAATTCTTTTTATTTATTTATTTAATTGAAGTATAGTTGATTTACAATGCTGTGTTAGTTTCAGGTGTACAGCAGAGTGATTCACTTATATGTGTATTCTTTTTCAGATTCTTTTCCATTATAGGTTATTGCAAGATGTTGAATATAGTTCCCTGTGCTCTACAGTAGGACCTTCTTGTTCATCTCTTTTATATATAGTAGTGTGTATCTGTTAATCCCAAACTCCTAATTTATCCCTCCTGCCTCATCTTTAATTCTTTCCTCCTCTACTTAAGGTATTTGACAATGCCTATCTGGAGGAGGGTATAGCTCAGTGGTAGAGCTGCTGCTTAGCATGCATGAGGGTCTCCATTAAAAATAAATAAAATTAAAAATAAATAAACCTAATTACCCTCCCCCCAAATATCATTTACAAAGTTAGTTTTTTTTTTTTTTTTTTGGCAGGGGGAGGTAATTAAGTTTACTTATTTATTTTTGGAGGAAATGCCAGGGATTGAACCCAGAACCTTGTGCATGCTAACTAAGCATGTGCTCTACCACTTGAGCTACACCCCCTCCTAGTTTTTTTGTTTTGTTTTGTTTTTTTAATGAAAAAACTAAGCACTTTTTGAAATTTTTTTTCCTTGAAAATCTTATTTTTTTGTGATCCCTTTGACTCAGCCTACTGGGGACAATTACAGATGTTTATTTTTGTTTGTTTGTTGTTTTTCCTGTATCCAAAGGAACAGAGAAGGGGATGGAAAGTGACTAAGGTGTCCTAAGAACATTGAAATAGGCCAGAAGCTCATTGCCGCTTCTTAAAGGAATACGTCCCTAGCAATTGCTCCTCCAGATCTCATGTGCCCGGACTGCAGCATGTCAAGATTCTGCTGCTTTTTCTACAAAGTTGTATTTGTTACCCTCCCTTTTCATCGCAGGATGCAGGGTGAAGTCGCATCACACTCGGCCGAGGACACCCTGTTTTCATTAGCCCCAGGTCATCTGCTTTCTGGGATCTTAACATTTGTTGCACATCCAACATCAGCCTCTTTATTGCCCTTTTTACACAATATAATTATTGTTATAAAAACTCCGAAATGCAGCTTTTCATACCCTGTGTGCCTTTCCACATTCTTTGTATCACACTAACTTCACCCATATGTGGTTACCTCTGAAACTTCAGCTAAGGTGGTGGTTGTTTTTTAACTCATACATGTATTTTCTTTTTGGAGGGTGGGTGACTAGATTTATTTATTTATTTTTAGAGGAGGTACTGGGGGTTGAACCCAGGACCTTGTGCATGTTAAACATGCACTCTACCATTGAGTTATACCCTCCCCGCTATAAATGAATTTTTAACAGTACTCCAGGTAGACATTGTGAAATATCTTAAGGTATTGCCCCTCACACATATATTTTCAACTTGTGTAACTTGTGTTTATGTTCTTACCTCTCCTGTTTCCCGTGCAGTTGCTGCAAAGAACCATGAACTTGGAATAATTCTTTAGTATTTTAATTTTCACAACAGAAAGAGGCAGACTATGACTAGTTATGGCAAATATCCCTGAATTTGTACCTGTTTTTAGGGCACATTG